CATTTGTATCAGTGGCAGTTTAGTGACAAGTCATCGGGAGGCCATTGGTCTAACATAGTAGAATAGGATAAGTGCAAAACTATTCCGACGAAATTCCAGGGCGAGAGGGGGGACTTTAAGGGGGCAACGCACTTGTAACTTTTGAGTTGCAGTTGCCCATGGGCGGCGGCAGTCACTAACCCTCAGGAGACCCTACTGTTCATTTTTCAATGCCTTTGTGGTGCAGTGGTAGCGTATGCGACTGCTGTGCTGATTGATGTGTTCGATTCTCGGTTCGGACCAAATGTTTGTAAGATCTGCAAATATTTGTTTCGGAGTTTGGGTGTGGATGTCCGAAAATATTATTATAATGGTATATTATACATATATATTATTCTAACCACATTCACACAACGCCATCTAGTCCCAAACTAAGCAGAGCTTGTACTATGGGTACTAGACAACTGATATAAATACATATATACTTTTTTTTTTTGTAAATACATTCATATTATACATAGAGACACCCAGACCAAATCAAACATTAAATGTTCCTGCACACAAATGTTTAACTTAAGCGGGAATCGAACCCGCGACCTTTGGAATAGCAGTCCGTTACACAAACCACTACGCCATCCGGTCGTCCAAATATTTAATATTTTCAAATTTGCCCCTACCCCATACCATAAATACCATGACTTAGTAGCTTATTTTACACAATAAGTAGTTTCTTAGACGATCCCGTTACAGTTAAAATTGCAGAACACATTAATAGTTGTAAAGTGTATAGGCGAGGAGAACCATCTCATATTGAAGGTTGAAAAAGTGTCCAGCTAAGGGTTCAGTGTACTGAAAATAGAGGTCGCTACGAAAAACCACGATATGAACATAGCTGTTCTAGACGGAGTGAGTGTGCTGAAGGCAAATATTTCAAAATTTTCATGACTAGAGTACTAGACTAACTGTAAAATGCCAGTCGCGGCCTCACATCTGAGTCGCACCGTCCAAGCCCCGGCCGCGGCGGCGGAGGATGCTGCTAGTAGGAAGCGATCAAAATACGCCGCAATGGAGACGCACTGTGCCTATTGCGGTGGAGACTTTGGGCAGTTGGGGGTCGGAAGCTAAAAAGTTAATTGCGGAGATTGGTCGCCGAGTTAGGGATAAAAGTGGTGACTCCCGCTCCGGCTCGTTTCTGGTGCAAAGAATGTCCGTTGGAATTTAGCGAGGCAATGCTGCCAGTATCATGGGCACCTTTGCACCGGGAGCGACGCGGGGCGGGTTATATGATCTGATTTGAAATAAAAAAATAAATAAATACATAATTGTAACTTAAATGTATGTATTAGATTAAAGTGGTATAATAAATGTATGGGTACTGGGGTACCGCAGCGCCTCCCTTACTAGACTCGTTTTTACGGACACTTTTAATACACAGAGATGGTTCATCTTACCTCTACCCTAAATCCTAATAATAATAGTAATAACTTGACAAATCTCACACACAGCATCTGATCCCAAACTAGGCAGAGAACTTTACTACTTACTATGACATTAATGGGATCGAGAGGGGACTGTCCCATAGCTCAAAAAATGTAGTACCAGTGCCTCCAAATTAAAATTATAATTATGTACCACTACCTCAAAAAATAAAAGGCAGGATATGGTTTCCAAAAAAATAACTCAATAAATAAAACATGTACGAATTATTGTCGTTAGTACAGTTACCATTTTAAACAAAATAAAGTCGTATGCTTGTTGGTCCGTGTGGTGACGGATTAAGAATATGGATTGTCCCCACCCCTATTCATCCCGTGGGTGTCGTAAGAGACGACTAAGGGAGCAAACTACGCAAGGACAACAACACTGCAAAGAGAAGGAAAACTTGACACAAACCCTTTTTTTTTTTTTTTTTTAACGTGTGGAAATCCCCTCGGACCGTCACCCCGCCGGGGTTTGCGGCGGGGTGGTGTGTCGGACTCGGACCGACTAAAACCACACGGTGTGCCACTCTGCGCCTGTAACAGGAGGGATCCGGGAACAGCTGTTGTTAAGACATCCGGACCCCTCCTAGCGCCAGCCCGCTCCTGGTGCGGGCTCCGTCTCAATGTAGATGTTCCTCTCTTTAGGCGACGTCCGGCACACGCGGACGCCGCCCCCTCGCGGGTGGCCAACTAATGCGGGTGGAGGGGAAACCCACCCCGTCCACCCGCGGCCACACTCAGGGCGGCATGAGGCTGTGGTAGGCGGGCCTCCGCCGCCCGGTTCGCCGGCGGCGGATCGGGTCCGAGTGGAGGTCGTCCTCCCGGGCCCTTTCCGCCGCCTCCTTCCGCGAGATTACTACCTCGCAGAAGGTTGCGACCGCGGTAAAACAACTGTCGCTACCGGCCATGGAGCGTACTACGGCCGGTAGCGAGAGATCCACTCCGATGACTGCAGTGAGGGCCCGGCGCTGCGCCGCCCATGCGGGGCAGACCGCCAGCGTGTGCTGGGCCGAGTCCTCACTGCAGTCGCAGTGGTGGCAGGCGGGACTCAGTTCCCTCCTAGCGACCGTGTGCAGGTACTTTCCGAAGCAACCGTGCCCGGAAAGCACCTGCGTCAGTCGGAAGGAAAGGGTCCCGTGCTGCCGCCCTGCCCACTCGGCGATGACCGGCTGGAGAGCCTCCACGGCGGCGAAGCCAGCGCGTGGAGTCTCCAGCCGGAACGACTAACGAGCCATCGTGGCTCGGCGAGCGGCTTCGCGCCACTCGCGCACATCCTCTGGCGGAGGGCGAAATCCGCTCTCCGCCCGGGAGTCAGCCACTCGCCGATAAACTTCGGCGAGCACTTCCGCCTCCAAATCCCACGGGGGAGTTCCGGCCAACGCGCACGCCACCTCCGTCGAAACGGTGCGGTAACCGCGTATGGCTCTGACCGCCATTACCCTCTGAGGGCGCCAGAGGCGTACCCTATTCTGGGCGGTCAGAGCCGCCGCCCACACCGGTGCACCGTACAGTGCCATTGACCGGACAACCCCCGTGTACACCCGTCTTGTCGCGACGCTGGGTCCACCCATATTGGGCAGAAGTCGCCCTAGGGCGGACGCAGCGCCGACCAGCTTTGGAGCAAGCCACACAAACCCTATACCAACCCGTCTGGCCAGCGTGGTATAGTAGGCCAAAACCTCCTTTCTAAGGAGAGGCCTATGTTCAGTAGTGGACGGTTAAAGGCTGTTGATGATGCTTTTTTGCAAATATAGTTGACTAAGTAAACAAAAAAATAAATATAAAAGCTGACGAATTTTGAAAAGTCAGAAATATTAAAGTATGGGGTAGTAAAGTAGTTGTTTATGACGTCAACAATATAACCCTAAGAGGTCATTAGACCTTTTTAATTAACTCTGTATATTAGAAAATGTCACAAAACATCATTTTTGCTGCTGAAGTTCCTTTGTCAACTATTGGAGTCGGAAGGACATAAAATAATATATATTTTTTTTGAGGGCAATTGGATACAATGTATGAGATTTTAATTTTACAAAAACAAAAGATGTTGGGGCTTGCGATACATCCATCGAGGATAGACTTTTTAACGATTTTTTACAAGAATCGACCTTCAGACCTCTGATAAACATACCGTATATCTGTATTTACTAATATATAATATATAATTACTAAATGCATACATTCTATAGGTACCTACTTTAAACCCAGATAGACGAGTATTATTATGACAGTAAATAAAACTCAGAAATGGTGAATTTCTTATAATTTTAATTTATATTTTCTTAAAAGTACATTATTATTTATATTATATATTTACAAGCTTATATAGTTAAGAATACAATAGTAAATTGTACTATGGTACATACATGCATTGGTTGTATTTTTTTTTACTTTTGTTTATTTTTATTCGAGCCATTAGAAACTTTGTTCAGACTTAGTAACAAGACTTATAGTAATTTTTTTAGGAAACATGATCACTGGAACATTGTACTCTCAAATTAATATTTTATTTAAAAATTAGTAAAAATTTTAACACCTAATTTTAGAAAAAATCAGATTTTAACTGTCATTACCCATTGGTATGAACCTCATGGTAATTTGTTTAGTAATTTTTGAGATCAGTAAATCTAGTCATAGTATAAATTATACAAACATTATGCCCATCTGATTATTATCACAAGCTCGTTACAAATATCTAATATTTTCATTATCTACGTCTAAACATACAAACATACACACATGCAAACATTAACAAACCACAACAAAATATAAGGTCCATGACCAGCTGTCAATTTATTATGCCCACAGTTAAAATTACCATAAACAAGCAGGCAAGCAATGCGATTTTTTTTAAATGTTGCGGAAGTCTTAGGTCATTTGTGAGTGTGTCAACACTGGTTTGACACTTCATACACTACAACTTACTGCAAAAATTTAGTGAAACTTATTGAAATAAGGAGAAGTGATTTGTATTGTTTTAAAAATATTCATAGTTAGGTTTAGTTGGACCCAAAAATAATAATATATAATAATAATATTCTACCACATTGACATAACGCCATCTAGTCCCAAACTAAGCAGAGCTTGTACTATGGGTACTGGACAACTGATATAAATACATATATATATAGTTTTTTTTGTAAATACATATATATTACACTTAGGAACGCCCAGACCAAATCAAAAATTAAAAGTTCATGCACACAAATGTTTGACTTAAGCGGGAATCGAACCCGCGACCTTTGGAATAGCAGTCCCTTACACAAACCACTATGCCCTTCGGCCGTAAAAAAATAGACACAAAGCAGATGTCATCATGACTTGCCATAAAAAAGGACAAGATAGAATTCATTATGGATTCAAAATTTTATGTAAAATATGTATTTTCATTAATCACATTCTATAAAATACCTCCCTTTACACTTCCACAGTAACTTAGTCTGAACAAATCTTTTTTACAAGCAAAAGTCCCGACTTTCGAGTCCCAAAGTCTCAGACCTGGAATGTCCTATTGTGTGCCAGGTCTGTTGGTAAGGCATATCATGAGTATTTCCCACTGTGACTGTTTTGGCGGCTCCAGGTGTTGGTGGACTTGGAGCCGAAACTAGGCGGGACCCCAGTAGGGGTGTGGGGTGGGCTCACTGGCATCAAGTTGGTCGCAGGGTGGTAGACCTTTGCAGACATCGTTGTTTCATCTGTAAAGGAATAAATGGGTATTTTAGTACAAAAAGTAATATTTGGTTGTTGCTTTCTGTCAATTATAACAATTGCAATTTCACACATCACACAAAGCCGTCTGATCGACAGCTACGAGTCTATACTATCACAGTACAGGCTCTGCCTAGCTCGGACCAGAATCAGACTACTGGTAAACATGCTTTCATATTTCTAAATACATACGTATAGATGAATTAGACACAGTACAAATCACTGTGCTGCTCACACAATTATTTATACCGGGCGGAACCGAAACCACGATCGATCGAATCGTCGACCCAGCAGACAAAATTTCTACCCATCAGACCAACAGATCTTGTCTCTGGTAGACTATTGAAGCACATTTACTCGTAAGCACTCTTGATACTTACTGTTCGAGAACGATCGATTGTATGAGTATTTAGAATTTTGATCCTTGTTTGGCGGCATTTTGGAATCTGTAACAATATGAAAGACACATTATTAATTTAATCACTCACTGGAAATTAGAATGATTATGCATCTTGGTCTATAAACATCAGTAGGCTGTGACCGTGGGAGAGCCATGCACATATGGGCCGACTCGACCAGAGTAATACCGCGGTCTCACAGAGAACCGGTCTTTAGCAATTCCTTTGTTTCTTTTCGCCGAGTGAGTGCGGTTTGCGAATGCGCAATCTCCCGACTCTCTCTCCTGATTCAGGCGGTGGTATTCACTTATGTTCAGGCGCCCTGTCTGCTCGTTTGATCCCTTATTATATAAAAACACCATAGGCCGCAAAAGTCTTTCTTGTTTTTAAGATATTGATTGTCCTTATACACATGTCAGCCTGGGAGTAATTGTTCCCAGGCCGCCATTGAATCATCCAGGACAACAAGGCCTACACAATTGGCTAAACAATCAGTAAAAACTGTAAGCCTTGCACTTTGGGGGACTTTTAACAATAGGAACACCAATTTTTAAGCGAGTTAACTTTTGCCAAAATCGGATTTGTGAAGTATTTGTCGGAATTTTACTAAGAGGTGACACAAATACACATTTTGGGACATATGAATTTTACTAAAATGTACCTTCAAGCCTCGCTCACCTTTGCTATCTTTGCTTTTAAGTATCAGACAAATGAGTTTCTTATCAAGTAGAGTGTTCCTTGTTGGATTATATATCTTGTTGATAAATGTAGTAAATATATCACAATAGTAAGTACGAATACTAAACTGATAGTGAGTTATGGGTGGTATGGTAGAAGACAGAAACTGTATTAATTGGACTATTCCCACCCACACGCCCACTGCTTTTATTCATGTACTTAGGGTCAACAGCAGTGGCCCATGAACACACCGAGTACATAACACTCGAGAAGTCCCTGAAACTGTAGTACTTGGTTCTTCTACGACTTAGGACGGTAAAGAGTTAGAAGAAGAATAAGGGAGAGAGATTGTCAGCGCATGAGAGATACATTTAGGCTGTAGGTTACAGCGTACATTTAGAGCTATATCAGGTCTGTGACAATTTTTATTGTGTAAAAATTTTTGTTTCGTCAAATTCGATAATTTAGAATTTATGGTAAAGTATCAACATTATCTGATCCAAAAGACGGCCACTGCTGGACATAGTATCAAATATATTATTATAGTAAAGTTTACTAGGTAGACATTCTACTTAACAACGTTTCTTATTGTAAAAATATATTTTGTAAAGAGCATATAATATTTTTGGTAATTATTACAGTGTTGTAAACCCAAATTAAAATATATGTTTCTATGAAAAATAGACACGTCGGTAAATGGATATATTCACAACCTTAATGCACCTGATGCTACCTAACTATCACCTATCACACCTAACAAAATAATTATTTAATTAAATATGATATATCCGTGTGGTAACGGATTAAGAATACAGAGTGTCACCACCCCTATTCATCCCGTGAGTGTCGTAAGAGGCGACTAAGGGAGCGAACTACGCAGGACAACAACACTGCAGAGAGAAGGAAAACTTGACACAAACCCTATACCAACACGTCTGACCAGCGTGGTATAGTAGGCCAAAACCTCCTTTCTAAGGAGAGGCCTATGTTCAGCAGTGAACTGTTAAAGGCTGTTGATGTGATGATTTAATGATCAATTTTTTAAACCTATCTCGTCATCCCGTATCAAAGCCTACATATCAATCCCGTATCAAAGCCTACAAAATATAAATTATTCTTTCTTATGATAAATAAAACATAAACAAGGAATCATCCCCTGGAGGGTAACGAGACTACGAGTATTATGATATCACAGCCAATCTTTGCTATTAATAATAAATGATGGTATTTATCTTATAGACGAGGCATCGGTACCATACATCTTATAAATTCTTAAGACCCTTATATACTGTGTTGGGTCGATAGACTAATATTTGTTTAATCTATACAAATAAATAAAATTGGAGTGTCTGTTTGTAATATTAAAATAACCGCTTTTTACTAAATGCATATGTATGTTTACACGGTATTTTTTACATTTTTTGTCTGTCTGTTTGTTCCGGGTAATTTCTGGAACGGCTGGACCGATTTCGACGGGACTTTCACTGGCAGATAGCTGATGACATAAGGAGTAACTTAGGCTACTTTTTTTAGACTAGCTTCGCCCCGCGGCGTTGCCCGCGGTTATAACAACAAACGCGGGTAACACCGAGTTTCTCAGCTAGCTCTAACTAAAATTATAAATGAAAATATGAGTGTGTTTGTTTGTTGCTTTGTTACGTTGTCACTACTCGACCGAGCGTCATTAAATTTTGCATACATAAGCCACGAAGCAAAGAAAAAGGTTTAGAATACCTTTTATTTAGAAAATAAGTACCATATAAGAACAGACTAATAAATTAAAAATATATATTTATATTGTGTCGTTTTTCTTGGCTTAGCCTAAAACTAAATGTGTGAAATTACCACATTCAGATCTATGAATTATTTTAGTTTGTTATTATTCACGATGTTTTATAATTCGTTTTAATACAATAAAGTTGTATACCTTTTTCGGATATCATTGCTTTATTTTTTTCCAGACCCAATTTTCACGTAAAAATTAAATACAATGTGACGTGTGTGTCTAAAGTCTAGGCGATGCTGATCTCTGACTGATATGAGTCGAACCCACAATCCTGGGGTCGTGAGTTCAACTCCTATCCACAATAAACAATCGTGTGATAGGCACAATCATTTTGTTCTGTATCTGTGAGCAATTTATTTATAAATATATAAGTGTGATTATCAGCAGTATATATAGGTATTATAACACAGATTCTGTCTAAGTCTGGAAGAGATCAGAAGGCCGCGTGTGAGGTCTGTCAAGTTATTATTATTATAACAGAAATATAGACAAAATAAACAAGGACACCCTGTATTACACCAATGTGTAAGCTCCCTAATATTACATTTATTAACCAATTTTTCCCTTGAACGATTCAGTCTTAATGCCACGATATAACAATAATGCATAGCAATACTGTATTGATGATATAATCCAATACCAAAACGACATATAACACATCTCCCCGTTGAGCTAAAACTACCCTTAACTCACTTCAGAGAAAGTTGATAACACAATTCATCAAATTTTCATAAAGTTGAGTTCGATACTTTCACACTGTGTTATCATATTTTCGTGTATTGAAACATATATCATATGTTCCAACAAAAAAGTAACAGTTTTTAAGCTCTATTCTATTACAATAAAGTTAAATCTTGAGTGCAGAAATATTTTACTTATGATATAAGAGTTTTGCTAGTAGCGTTGTCTGAGTAGATTTATTTCGTACGAAAAGAAAAAGACGTACAAAGAGTGGTGGGGGAGGGGGTAGATATTTGTAAAATTGATTATCTTTTACGTTCTTTTGATACCATCCCTTTGATTGTGAGACACCCGATTGGTTTTAATTGAATTCTTTAAGAAAGGGATTTAATGCTTTGATTTTTGAGGCTTTTAGCGATTATCTTTGTATCTATACAAAGGAGTTTGAAGGCTAATAATTAGGGGTGAGTTCTATTGAAGTTTTTTTGATTTTTTGTTTTTAATTTTTGAGATCATTTCTTTTGGTACAAAAGTGATACTATGAAAAGAATCCTTTACTAGTCCATTGCTGGACATAGGCCATTTCTTAGAAATAAGGTTTTTATTTAGGTTTGGTTATAAAAAAATTAACATCATTAGTACGTATTTGACTATCCCTATAGGGATAAAGAATTGTGTAAGTTTAAACTTTATTGAACCACTCTGTTTACCTCGAAATTTGATAGCTATTCATGTCACAGTTGCTAGGCTTTTCCTTCACTATTTACACATGTCCATTATAAACATTTACACTACATTTTGTAGGGTAGGCTACATTTATGTAAGATAGCAACCGTATCGGAACGCCGCTTCTACACTGAGCGCACTGTGTTGAAAGTTCTATATAGTTTGAACAATCTGCTGTTTCTGACGATGATAGAACATGGATATGACAAATTCACAATTGAGTCACCAAGTTAATTAAAAACAGGATTTTTTATTTATTTACTAAGACAACTCCCGCACTAGGAATATATCCTATGTCGGGGGGGACTTTACAAACATACATGAAACGGACATAAAGAACACCCAGACTCAGAACAACAATTTGTCAATCACACAAAGTGTCGTCCCATGTAGGGATCGGACCCACAACACTCAGCGTAGTAGTAAGCGGCGTGGCAATCGCTTAAACCACTACGGCATCCGCGCAGCAAAGGAAACAAAATCTCGAATTTTTGGAACTCTTGTTCAATTTAGGGTTGAAAAAGAACACCGTCCTAACAAAACTGTATACAACAGGTTCGAAAATATACCAACACGTAGAAAAGGGAGTTATGAAAAATTATCCAATCAAAATCAGGTCAGTGTATCGAAGGTAAGAACAATTCTTAGTTTTCTAGAATGTACAGGTGGTCTCTACAGTATTGAGTATTTCATTGATCTTGAGTGGGCTTGTAGAGCTCCCTAAGAATTGGTTAAGATTCAAGATTTTTGTGTCCGTTACATGTATGTTTGTAAAGTCCCCCGCGACGCAGGACATAGTATGGGTCTATGTATACTTCAAATTTTAAGTACGTTTCGGTATTTCTTCTGTAGACATGTTGACTTCTAATGGTGTTTTAAAAGAGTCTAAAAATAAAAATTAATTTAACGTACGGAGATAAAGGCGGGATCATATTTATCATTACACAAAAATATAATACAATTAAGCTAAATTTTAAATGAATCAAAGTTTCAGGTAAGTGCTTTAAAATATTTGATACGGCCACATAATATTCTGATAAATATTTATCAGAATTTAAGTAGGTTTATCAAAGTTGCTACTTAGGCAAAATCTATTTCATGATTTTTTACTTCCGTGCGATATATTATAAAATTGATCAAAAACAAGAAGTTTCAGAATTTTATGATTTTTATAATG